ATTTTTCTTAAAATTGCAAACCAATAAAAACACAACTTTTGCCAAAAGGGAAATTTTTTACATCCCAAATCAGTAACACTAAAAAAATTTATTTTTAAAATAAGAAAATTGGGACTACTTTTCAAAATTATATTATATTTTGACACACTGCCCCTTTATTGATACAAAAAATCTTGCCACTACAACCTTTTTGTTTTGTGCATCAAAATTTTGGCAAAATGACAGTTTACTTTTATTTCCCCCCTTTTTCATTTCATGTATAGACGGGTTTTCTTGTGTATATTCATGAAAAAAAAACTTTTGGAAAAAAAATAATACTTGTTCCTTAAAAAAACCCAAAAACTAAACTTTATATTCATTCTTTTTAAAGCTAGAGTATTTCAATTTTAATCCGTGCTATCCCCAAATAGCCATGAACACAAGTATTATGGGCCTTTTAAAACCCCAATATAATAAACAGCATTTCCCCCAAAAAAAAACTTATTTTTTAAAATTCAAAAAATTTAGAATTGCTAGTGTCATTACACAACATTAAAGAAAGGGATATTATTTTTGCCAAATTATAAAAAGAGGTGTTTTAAAAACAAACCCTCAATCCTTAAAAAAACCTTGTCAGTCCCAAAATGCTATGTTTAAGTCCCCAAAACGTATTGAGGTTATCGTAAAACGTACTGGGGAAAATGAAATTGGGTAAATATTTCCCAAAATTAAAAATTTTTTCCCATATTTTTTTAAGGTCAAAAAAAATAAATGACAAGGGGATATTAAATCCAGGGTTTGAACAATGCCCAAAATAACTCAAAAGTTATCTGTATAAAAAAAAAAGCAAACTGGGTTTCCAAATACCTGCAACTGTCCTTTTACTTTAAAAATAATTTTTATCAATGACTGACACTACACTTCCTGCCAAAGGCAATGCTTTTCATAGGCAAAAAATGGCTGATATCTTGCAACCTAGTAACTTTACATGGGATTTTTTTTTAATTATTTAGTTTTTTTGATGGGTTTCAAGTACAGTACTGTAACACTAAGCCAACTAAACTGTTCAGAAAAATTTAAAAAAAAAAAGCGAGATATTTTTTTTTTACTAGATGTATAATTCTGTCTTGGCATTTTTACTGTCATCTTTCATTTTGTATAAAATTGTGATTTTTGTTTTTTAAATTGTTATCACTCACCTCATACACTTAATGACATCAACACTGCTATAATTATTGCTCGAGTGCATTAATAATTTTCTTCAACCTCATTTTCAAGTTTCAGAAATTATCACCAATTAAAACATTTTTCAATAATACAAAAAATATGTAAAACAAGACAGTGATATAATAAAAAGTATGTACATTTGCAAGTGCAGTACAAGGTATTTTAATAAATGACAGAGACAACACTAATGCAAAAACGAAATTTTAAAAAATCTTCATGGTCCCCTTTCTTTGGTGAAACTCTATTACTACAATCTTATTACATTACCAACCATTCTTTGTTCTCAAAATTAGATGTCCTTTAGCACCCTACCCTATTTGTGTCTAACATATCTTTATTTTGAAAATGTTGTACCATATAGTAATTTCATATTTATCTGTTTCCCACCTTTTTATTTTTGTATGTTTAAGTACTCAATCAGAAGTGACAAGAAACAATAAATTGGCCATTAAAAATACGAGAGAAGTCATAGGCTATTTTAATAAGAAATTTTTTTTTAAGAGATAAATCTTAAATCTAAAACCATACTAGGGGCAGCATTAGAACCCGCGGTCAGAGAGTTTCAAAACTCCAGACCATCGAGTTAGCCACTGGGCACTAGCAAGTTCCTAACCCTGCCCATGGTAATGTTTGTTTGCAATCGTGTCATACGATTTCGAAGTCCAAATCTCTCTAGGCTTTTTTATACAACATATCAGGGTTTCAAATAGATTTTAGAGCTAAAGAAGGAGTAGCAATAATGTTGAAGGATAAGCTATGGGCAGGAAAAGAGGGACTATAAATGTATTAATTCAAGGTTTAAAGTGGATAAAATAAAGATTGGATGTGAAAAGTGGGTTATAATAAGGCGTGTATCACCTGGAGAAGAGAGAAGTTGTAGAGGAGAAGAGAGAGATTTTGGGAAATGTTGAGTGAATGCGTGGGGAGTTTTGAATCAAGTGTGAGAGTAATGGGGGTTGGGGATTTTAAATGCTAAAGTGGTAAAAATGTTATGGAGGAGTATAGGTAAATTTGGGGTCCAGGGGAAAAATGTAAAGGGGGAGCCTTTAATTGAGCTATGTTAGAAAGAAATTTGGTAATAAGTAATACATATTTTATGAAAAAGAGGATAAATAAATATACAAGGTATGATGTAGCAGTAATAAAGTAGTTTATTAATTATGTATTGGTGGATAAAAGGTTGATGGGTAGGCTCCAGGATGTACATGTTTATAGAGGGGCAACTGATATATCGATCATTATTTAGTTGTAGCTACAGTTAAGTAAGAGTAGATGGGAAAAGGGGAAGGTGGCAACAACAAGTAAGAGGGAGGTGAAAGTGTATAAACTAAGGGGGGAGGAAGTTCGGGTGAGTAAAAAGCGACTATTGCAGAAAGGTGGCTAGTGCAAAGATGAGTAGTGGGGGGTTGAAGAGGGTTGGAATATTTTTAAAAATGCAGTATTAAATGTGGGGCAGAAGTTTGTGGTTATAGGAGGGGGGGAAAGGAGAAAAGGAGTGATTGGGGGAATGATGAATTTAAAGGGTGTATAAAAGAAAAAAAGGGTAGCTTATGAGGGGTTTTTTTTACAAAGCAGAAGTGTTATAAGAAGAGCAGAGTATATGGAGAGTAAAAGAAAGGTAAAGAGAGTGGTGAGAGAGTGCAAAAGGAGAAGCAGATATAGAGTGGAGAGGCACTGCCCAAGAAATTTTAATGAAAAAAAGAAAAAATTTTGGAGTGAGTTAAACAAGTTAAGAAGCCTAGGGAAAATATGGATTTGTCAGTTAAAAACAGAGTAGGGGAGTTATAAGGGGGAGATGGAGGTATTGGGTAGATGGCGAGAATATTTTGAGGAACTTTTAAATGTTAAGGAAGAAACAGGGGCAGTAATTTCATGCACTGGTCAGGGAGTATACCATCTTTAGGAGTGAAGAAGAGCAAATGTAAGGGGTGGGGGGGGTACGTGGGGCATTACGTAAAATGAAAGGGGGTAAAGGCACGGAACTGATGGGATCATGACAGAAATGTTAAAAGCGGGGGGGGATATAGTTTTGGGAGGGGTTTTGGTACTTTTGTTTAATAAATGTATGAAAGAGGGAAGGTACCTAGGGATTGGCAGAGAGCATGTATAGTCCCTTTATATAAAGGAAAGGGACAAAAGAGACTGTAAAAATTATAGGGGAAAATAAGCTTACTGAGTATACCGGGAAAAGTGTACGGAAAGGGTATAATTGAAGAATTAGGGGTAAGACAGAATGTAGAATTGCGGATGAGCAAGGAGGTTTTAAGGTGGGAAAGGGGATGTGTAGATCAGTGTTTACATTGAAGCATATATGTGAACAGTATTTAGATAAAGATAGGGAAGTTTTTATTGCATTTTATGGATTTAGAAAAGGCATATATAGAAGTAATAAGGAGCAATGTGGCAGTTTGTTGCAAGTATATGGAATAGGAGGTAAGTTATTAAATGCTGTAAAGATTTTTATGAGGAATATGAGGCTCAGGTTAGGGTGTGTAGAAAAAGAGGAGACTATCATTCCTCCGTAAAAGTAGGTCATTAGACAGGATGTGTAATGTCACCAAGTTTTTTTAAAATATTTATAGATGGGTTGTAAAAAATTTAAAAATGCAGGCTTGTTTGGGAGAGGGGTGGATTAAATTATGGGAATCAAATTCAAAATGGGAACTTGACACAGTTACTTTTTGCTGATGATACTGTGCTTATGGAGATTCAAAAAGAATAATTGCAAAGGTTTAGTGATGAGTTGGGATGTGTGAAAAGGGTAGAAAGTTGAAAGTGAACATAGAAAGAGTAAGGTGATAGGGTGTCAAATTATTTTAAGATAAAGAAAAATTGGATTCAAATTGGAGGAGGAGTATGGAAGAAGTGAATGTTTTCAAATACTTGGAGTTGACGTGTCGGCGGATGGATTTATGAAGGATGGGTTTAATCATAGAATTGATGAGGGAAAAAAGGTGAGTGGCGTTGAGGTATATTGGAGTCAAAAAACTTATCTAATGGAGCAAAGAAGGGAATGTATGAAAGTATAGTAGTACCAACACTCTTATATGGTGTGAAGCTTGGTGGTAAATGCAGCAACAGAAAAACGGTTGAGGCAGCGAGATTCCTGTTTAAAGGCATAATTGTGGTGTAAATATTATGCAAAAATTCGGAGTGTGGAAAATTAGGAGAAGGTGTTGGAGTTAATAAAAGTATTAGTCAAGGGCAGAAGAGGGTTGTTGAGGTGGTTTGGTCATTTAAGAGAATGGATCATCAGTAGATTAACATGGAAAGCATATAAATTACTAAGGGAAGAAGGCGGGGAAAGGGTCTCCTCGAAAGGTTGGAGAGACGGGGTAAAGGAGTTTTGTGGGTAAGGGGCATTGGACTTCCAGCAAGCGTTGCGTGAGCAGTTAGATAGGAGTGAATGAGACGAATGGTACTTGGGACCTCGAACGATCTTTGATGAGTGTGAGCAGGGTAATATTTAGTTGAGGGATTCAGGGAAACCGTTATTTCATATAGTCGACTTGAGTCCTGAAATGGAAGTACAATGCCTGCACTTTAAAGGAGGGGTTTGGATATTGGCAGTTTGGAGGGATATATTTTGTGTATCTTTATATGTTTATGCTTCAAAGAACTGTTGTATTCTGAGCACCTCTGCAAAAACATGATAATGTGCTAGTGTGGTGAAAGTGTTGAATGATGATGAAAGTATTTTCTTTTGGGGATTTTCTTCTTTTTGGGTCACCCTCCTGCCTCGTGGGAGACGCCGACTTGTAAGAAAAAAAAACAAAAAAAAAAAAAAAAAAAAATCTTTAATATCTTACCACACATGCAAGATGATTATTTTTCACTTCTCTGTTTTCTAGTAATGTATGATGTATACTGGCTAATCAGTGAATGAAGAAAAATAAACACACAATACACAGAAATTAATCCCTTTAATTGATAGTAAAACTAATATTCAAACCCTTATGAATGATTCACACTTTCTAATAATTTTTTTTTACATGAGATTCTGCAAGATTCACTTTGAATGGGGTAAACACACAATATCCAAATGAGATCAATGAGGGACCAAGTATTTGCCTATTTCACGTACAGCAAATCAAAACCCACAATACAGCAAATAAGCTAGGGAATTGTGACAATGTCTGATAATAAGACTAGTGGCATGTTCAGTGACCCAAGGTGTACTCACCTATGTTTGCAGAGTTTAAATTTTAGTTCCTGAACCTCATCATTTAACCATCAATTCCTCATTATTCTTAAGGTCTTTTTTTTTGTATACTATTTACACTGGAATTCCTGTAAGGAGTTTGTCTCTGTTGCTATATTCCCTGGTAATGTTCCACTGGCTTATTAGCCTTATCATGATCCTATCCCTTCCAAACTGTCTGTATTCACAATGCCAATACCTATGTATCATGCATGTTGTGACCACAAGATACAATACAAGCTCTTTAAGCTATCATTTTTTAAAATCTATCATCAAAGCTCAAGTCCTTAGTCTCAAGGACTAGCCTGGTAGAAAACCTGAAATTACCTATTTTTTTTTTCATCAAACCAGCCATATCCCACCAAGGCAGGGTGACCTAAAACAAAAAAAAACAAAAGTTTTTTTTTTTCAAGAAAATGAGTTTTTTTTTTTTGAAAAGAAAAACAAAAAAAAAAAAATGTTTTTAAAAAAGAAAAAAGTTTTTCTTTTTAAACCCTTTCAGGGTACAGAGGCCAAATTTTAAAGTGTGCACCAGGGTCAAAGAAATATCCAAAAAATAATTTTGTTATTTTTTCTTATGAAATGGTAGAGAATCTTTTTCTGAAGGTAATAAAACAAAAAGTATGAAATTTGATGGAAAACTGACAAAATTATGCTCTCGCAAATTTTGATGTGTCAGCGATATTTACGCATCGGCGATTTTGCCTGACTTTGACTCCCATTTTAGGGCAATTACAATACGTATTCCAGTCAACCAAATTCTTAGCTATTTCACTAGTATTACTTCTATTCTATTGATTGAGCACAAGAAATCGCCAAGTCGACTGTTTCAACAACAAAATAAAGTGACTGGAAATTGGTAATTTGGCCAATTTAATGCAAAGTTCAAAATAGGGTCCAAAATAAACAATGCAGGCATTCCTGGCACTAAACTAACATTTCCTCTGTTCATTAGTTATGTTTCCATTTTGATTTTTATTCACATAATGAATTTTTATTCAAACCAAAAAATAGAAGATTTCTGTTATGCAATACTGTAATAATTGTATAAATAATATTACCACATTTGTGAATGTATATCAGACCCACCAGCTGTCATGTATTAGACTTGTGAGGTCATTTGTTTACTCTTGAACATCGGCAAAAATTTAACATTTCCACTACTTTGAGCTCAGTTTCAAGCCATTTCCAGCATTAAAACCAATCAAAATCATCTCTATTTCTGTAGTATATCTTCCATTCTATCAAATGAGACCAAGAAATTGCAAATACAACTATAAAAAACATACGAAAAAACACTGCAAAGTTGCCGTTTTAATCGAAAATTACAGTCTCAGTATTTTTCTCTCATTATGCATTGTGTGCTGCAGGATTTATTTTATGTGGTGCACACATACAACATAGATGCATTCTCTCATATCTAGGCCCAAATTTACTGCTCACAGCTTATCAGAGTGAGCTGAGCTCATGGCGTAGATCTACTGTTCGGACCCTGAACGTAAAGCTGTAGATCTATGGCACGGACCCTGAAAGAGTTAAATTTAGTAATGTGTACAGGAGAAAGGGTTACTAGCCCCTTGCTCCCGGCATTTTAGTCACATCTTACGACACTCATGGTTTACGGAGGAAGAATTCTGTCCACTTCCCCATGAAGATGAGCAGAAATAAAAAAGAACAAGAACTAGTAAGAAAATAGAAGAAAACCCAGAGGGAGTGTGTATATAAATGCTCATACATGTGTAGTGTGACCTAAGTATAAGCAGAAGTAGCAAGGTGTACCTAAAACCTTGCATGTTTATGAGACAGAAAAAAGACACCAGGAATCCTACCATCATGTAAAACAATTACAGGTTTCTGCTTTACACTCACTTTGTAGGACAGTAGTATCTCCCTGGGTGGTTGCTGTCTACCACCTACTACCAGGAATTACTTATTTGTAAATACATTTTTTTTAACACACTGGTCGTCTCCCACCGAGGTAAGGTTACCCAAAAAAGAAACTCTTTCACCATCATTTACACTCTCGCTGTCTTATAAATACATGTACTGATTTTTAGTTTCAGAAATAAAACTTACGCTCATAGTGGTCTGTCATCTGTTATGAATTTATCATACAAGCTTTTAAAATTCCTAATGGTTTTAGCATACTACCTGCTAATTTGCTTCACTTCTTCCTCCTTTACAAAAGGCTCCTCTCTTATCCTCCTCTATTAGACTGATAAAGCCCTTGAAGCAAGAACCATCTCTCAAATATACCCAGGTGTGACAGTGAAAGCATCTCCTTTGTGTCACCCTACCTCGGTGGCACAAGGCCAGTGTTAAAAAAAAAAAAAGGTATTGCATGTTTTAATGAGTAAATTTATTTATGTGGGTTGATAAATAAATCTAAACATATTATTATTATTGCTTACCAGCAAAATTAAGTAACAAAACAATATTTGCTATGCACTTCTCTCTTACATCAATAGTCATACATTTTTATAAACATCACTTAGTACTTTGCTAAGTATGTCCTAGAAGAATATAGTGATACAAGCCTTTTGTCTTTTTTTCTAATTACAGGTCCGCCATCACAAATCCGGCAGACATCCAGTTCCATCAGTTATTCAGCACTAATTCTGGCTAGTATAATTTCAAATTTCCAGGGTTGCCACACCAACCTGCTGTTACTGTTTGGTGGCACTACTTCCTGCATAAGTCATTCCAATTTCTTTTTCTCCATTTATGGTTATAACCTGCTCACTTTTAGACCTAGCCACGGTTCCAACGGATAAATGATTCTCGTTGAGTAAATCACATACACAGTACACTGTCCATAAAAGATAAGGTGGCTTTCAAACCACTGTCGGTTGCCATGAGCTCAGTTTCACGATGCAGGGAAATATGCTTTATTATTACACTAATATCAACACTATGGCTTATTTGCTTATCACAACTGATCTAATATGACATAATAAACAATATAAATGACATAAAAACACGTTAAATACTCCATAATGAATAATACTTGGCATAATACCAAGTGGCTCGACAGATTATTATTATAATAATCAAGGGGAAGCGCTAAACCCGGAGGATTATACAGCGCCTGGGGGGGGGGGGGATGTGGAAGGCATTCAGATTTTCAAACTTCAAAAAACTGTACACCAGTGTTTCAAAAGTGTTTTGAAGTGACCTCAGAAACTGAATTGACCCTAAGAGAGTTCTGGAAAGATCACTTCAATATCCTCCATTGCATAAGCCTTATACCAGCTTGGGAGAGAGTAACTTCCAGGACTTTGAACTCTGTTTGGAGAAAACTGTGGCCAGAATGTGTCCAAGAGAGGGGATTTTGAAGGGATTGGGGGCTGACCCTGACGAGCCTATGCCAGTTGTGGAAAGTACTATTGCGGCATTGGGGAATTCCATGGGGTTGGATGCGAGTTTCAAGGATGGGGAAGAGTTGGTGGAGGACCATGATGAAGAGCTAACCACTACAGAGCTGCAAGACCTTCATCTGCAACAGCAACAGACCACAGCTCAGGAAACTACTTCAGAGGAGGAGGAAGAGAGATGGAGGAATGTGCCTTCTTCAAAGATTAAGGACACTTGTGCAAGGTGGACTGAGGTGCAAACATTTATGGATGAACTTCACCGTGACAAAGCTGTTGCAAGCCATGTTGGCAACATGTACAATGGCAATGTTGTGTCCTATTTAAGGGAAATTTAAAGAAATGCCAGATACAGACCTCTCTGGAACACTTTCTTGAGCAACAGGGGTCCAGTGACTCAAGCTGGTCCTAGGGACATTAAAAAACAAAGAAGGAAAGTAACCCCAGAAAAAGACTTGGTACCTGAAGTCATTATGGAGGGGGATTCCCCTTCCAAACAATAGTACACCTCCATCCTCTCCCCTCCTCCCATCTCATCACTCGTCAACAAGTCTTCAATAAAGGTAAGTGTTATTTTATTATTGTTTTATTCTGCATGTCTTATTGTTTTCTGTGTAGGTAAATGTATATTTCATGTAAAAAATTAATTTTTTAATACTTTTGGGTGTCTGGAATGGATTAATTGGATTTACATTATTCCTTATGGGGAAAATTAATTCAGAAATTGCCAGATTCAGGTTTAGTCACTTTCTCTGGAACAGATTAATTACGAAAACAGGGGGTAAACGTACCATTCTTCTATCCCTGTCTTGGGGCTTATATTAGAGAAAACAGAGTAGAGCACAGGGATGTGATATACACTCAAAATGCACCATAAAACTGAAACAAAAAAGCTATTTTCTCTACAGAGATTATCATATATAGCAGCATATGTATAGAGAAGCTAGGATAACCCAAAAAAGTCAAAGTGACTTATTTCTAGTACCTGGCCTGGGCTTGCCATATATGATTTTTTGGTAAATTTTTTTTTCTCAGTTGTTTGTTGGGCTATCTTATTGAAACTTGGGCAATGTATGATGAAAAGATGCTTCTTAACATACACCAAAAATTAAAGAAATCGGATAATTAATAACAGTTCATTAGCCATTAGCCGACCCTTAGCAGTATATTTTCGTATGGTTTTTATGTTTGTATTCTCATTTTTTTTTTCTTATTTGATAGAATGGAACATATATTAAAGAAATAGATATGATCTTGACTGAAACTGAGCTCAAAGTAGCAGAAATGTTCGATTCTTTGGCGATGTTCAAGAGTAAACAAATGATGTCATAGTCCAATATGTGTCCGAATGGCCAGTCCAAATTCCAATACACAGTCACGAATGGGTTCACATTATTTATACAATTATTATAATAATGCAATAGTCTGCATAACAGTAAATCTTGTATCTTTTGTGTGAATAAAAATTCCAAATGGAAAGCAAGAGTAATATAAGAGGGGCCTGGAGCCATGACTAATGTACAGAGAAAATGTTATTTTAGTGCCAGGAATATCTGCATGTTTATTCTGGACCCTATTTTGAAATTAGCATCTTTTGAAATTTGTGTGAAATTGGTCAAATTGCCAATTTCTGACCACTTTATTGGGTAGTTGAAATAGGTGAATGGGCAGTTTCTTGTACTCAGTCAACATAACAGAATAAAGTTTATTCAGGAATACACATATATAGTTACATAGATTATCATACATAGCAGCGTATGTAGAGAGAACCAAGGATAACCCAAAAAAGCCAAAGTGACTTACTTCCAGTACCTGGCTTGGGCTTGCCATATATGATTTTTGGTAAATATTTTTCTCTCAGTTGTTTGTTGGGCATCTTACTGAAACTTGGGTAATGTATGATGGAAAGATGCTTCTTAACATACACCAAAAATGAAAAAAATCTGACGATAATAATGGAGTTCACTTCTCAACCATTAGCCGCCCCTTAGCGGTAAATTTTTGTATGTTTTTATGGTTGTATTCTCGTTTTTTGGTCTCATTTTAAAGAATGGAAAATATATTACAGAAATATATTTGATTTTGATTGGTTTCAAGGCAAAAAGTACCTTGAAATTGAGTCCAAAGTAGTGGAAATGTTCAATTTTTGCCGATGTTCAATGAACTTTTTTGTGTAAGTCAAGTTGGTTAACTTTATTAAGTGTATTCTAACCTGACCACTCTGTAATCTGGTAAACTCAATAATCTGGCACACTACAGGTCCCAATGATGCCGGATTTGTGATGGCAGACCTGTATTTCATGCTAGAAAAAATGATATACTTAACTTACTTTGGTATGCTCATAGTCAGTCCTAAGTCTTACATGGCTGTGGACCCTAAAGACCTCTTCAAACTAAAAAGATCTGATGTTAGCCTAAAAAGTAATGGCTCATGGAAAGAATTTTAAATTATAAAATAAATAATACTGTGTATTATCACAACAGCACAAATAATAATATGCATATTAGTACAGTATTATAATAGTTATATTAATATCTGCAAAAATATATAATGCCACATTCATACAAATTAATGAAAAAATAATTTGATTAAATTCTAGTAATCAAGTAATGAGTGGCAGGTTTTGGGTTATGGAAATTAGCATGAATGATTTAACAAATCAGAGGAATTTGCTATATTATAAATCATATCTAGTAAAAGACAATCACAACTGGATCAATTATAAAAAAATAAAATCCCTTTAAAAGTATACAGTATGTACCTTCTACATTAAATCACTGAAAATCTTCCTAAAAAAAAAAAATCCTCCTAAAACAAGACAATACATAAGTGATGTATATTTTAAATATCTGCAGATAGTTATCACTATATAAATGAGAATACAGAAGGCTTCAACAGTTACTTTTGCCACCATTCACAGATAAAAAATAAAATAACAGGATGTCCTAAATGTAGTGTTTAGAGCCAGATATTATATCCCTCAATTTTGACTAAGAAAAGTGGCTGGGAAAGAAGGAAGTGTACATCCCTTTTGTTGCAGAAGCTTTTGAGCTGTCCATGTACCACAATCCAGACACTTTTCAATAGGCTGCCCTGTGCTCAAGGCAGCCAAGAATCCTCCCACAAATGAGTCACCTGCACCAGTTGTGTCTACAATGCCTTTGGGCGAGATTGGGGGAACAGGACGTTCTCGAACTTCATGATTATGGACATACAAAAGTGGACTTGGGCCCTTAGTTACAACCACCAGTTTCTGTTTTCTACCACTTACATTATATAAAGAATCATTAAAATTAATCCTGTGACCATTAATGACACCATTGATTAAACCATTTGTGGTTCCATTAGCCACAACACTATCTTTATGACTGAAATGATTATCAGATATTTTTAAAGATTCAAGTTTGGCTACCTTTTGTAGTTCTTCTGATATATAAATACTACTGTCTTTTATAATCTTCTCCTCACCTTTAATGGCTTTTAAGACCTGCAATACATCATGAGATATGTTATTGGGATTGATCATGTGACTGGTAGAGACTCTCTCAAGGTCAACAAACTTATCCAAGGTTTTGTACTCTTCTACATAACCAAAGAGGATGTCCACATACGGCAAAAGTTCTGCTAATTCGTTGGGATGATTTTCACACACGTAGCTTCCACACAGATTAAATACAAAAGTTTTCTTGTTCTTCTGAGCAAATCTGGCAATCTGTAAAAAAATAAATATATTAGGAAACTTCTTTAAAGACTGGTGAAGTCTTATAACATTGTGACAAAATACAAACTTTAAACTCAACACTGTAACAAAGTTAATGTATGAGCATCACATAAAAAGAAGGAAACAAAGGGACTAGCTTAAAAAAGACACAATAGGACAAACAAAAATCTGATGACTCATGAAATTGTAATGACACGATTGCAAACAAACCATATCATGGGCGGGGTTTGAACCAGCGGTCAGAAAGTCATAAAACCCCAGACCAACTCGTTAGCCACTGGTCCAGTGGCTAATGCGTCGGTCTGGAGTTTTATGACACTCTAACCACAGGTTCAAGCCCTGCCTGTGGTGTCTTTTTTTTTAAAAAACTGATGCTGTATGTTTACAAAGATGAACACATCTAATTTACAAAGATTATCTTGTTTTTACAAGAAGCATTATAGTTTACTTGGCAAAACACAACACCAAACCCAGAATAAGGAATATTCAGACCAATATTAAACAGGATTAGAGGCATATTGTTATACGGTGGACCCTCGGGTAACGAAAGCATCGTCTAACGTTAAATCCACCTAACGAAGCGTTTGAGCGTAAAAATTTTGGCCCAGCCAACGATGAAAAACTCACCCAAAGTGATTCGTCTAGTAAGCATCCACATGTGGCCTGAGCGCGCCTCAGCTGCCCCGTGTGTGCAAGTGTTTACAAGCCAGCCAGTGCGGTCACATCCATGCATACATTCGGAACATTTTATACTATCCTAGTGTCTTTAATACTTGTAACTGCAAAATAAGTCACCATGGGCCCCAAGAAAGCTTCTAGTGCCAACCCTGTGTTAAAAACAGTGAGAATTAGTATGGAATTGAAAAAGAAGAGATAATTGCAAAGTACGAAAGTGGAGTGCGTGTCTCGGAGCTGGCTAGGTTGTATACCAAACCCCAATCAACCATCGCTACTATCTTGGCCAACAAAAAGGCAATCAAGAAAGCTGTTCTTGCAAAAGGTGCAAGTATGTTTTTGAAACAGAGATCGCAAGTACTCGAAGATGTTGAGAGACTGTTATTGGTGTGGATAAACAAAAAACAGATAACAGGAGATAGGAAGCTGCATGACAATTTAATTAAAAAAATGCCTGCAAAGGTTGGTTTGAGAGATTTAAGAGTTGTAGTGGCATACACAGTGTGATAAGGCATGGTGAGGCTGTCATTTCGGACCAAAAAGCGGCTGAAAAATATGTGCAGGAATTCAAGGAGTACATAGAGGCTGAAGGATTGAAACCTGAACAAGCGTTTAATTGTGACAAAACAGGCCTGTTTTGGAAGAAAATGCCAAACAGGACCTACATTACTCAGGAGGAAAAGGCACTCCCAGGACATAAGCCTATGAAAGACAGGCTTATTCTTTTGTTGTGTGGTAATGCTAGTGGTGATTGCAAAGTGAAGCCTTTATTGGTGTATCACTCAAACTCCCAGAGTGTTCAGGAAAAACAATGTCCTCAAGGCTAATTTGTGGGTGATTTGGAGGGCAACAGTAAGGCATGGGTCACTAGGGACTTTTTTCTATGACTGGTTTCACCATGTGTTTGACCCCACTGTGAAAAATTACCTCCTGGAAAATAAATTGGACCTTAAGTGCCTCCTGGTATTAGACAATGCTCCTGGTCATCCTTCAGACTTGGCAGAGCCAATTTCTAAGGACATGAGCTTCATCAAGATCAAGCTTTTGCCTCCTAATACCACTCTTCTCCTGCAGCCCATGGACCAGCAGGTCATTTCAAACTTCAAAATACTCTACACAAAAGCTATGTTTCAAAAGTGCTTTGAAGTGACCTCAGATACTCAAGAGAGTTTTGGAAAGATCACTTTAGTATCCTCAGTTGTGTAAACCTTATGGGTAAGGCTTGGGAGGGAGTGACTAAGAGGACCTTGAACTCTGCTTGGAGGAAACTGGCCAGAATGTGTAGAAGAGAGGGATTTTGAAGGGTTTGGGGCTAACCCTGAGAAGCTTATGCTAGTTGTGGAATCTATTGTGGCATTGGGAAAGTCCTTGGGGGTGGAGGTTAGTGGAGAGGATGTGGAAGAGTTGGTGGAGGAGGACAATGAAGAACTAACCACTTTGAGCTGCAAGAGCATCTGCAACAGCAAGAGGCCAGACCTGAGGAAACTGCTTCAGAGGAGGAGAGAAATTGAAGAAGTTGCCTACTTCAAAGATTAAGGAAATGTATGCGAAGTGGGTTGAACTGCAAACTTTTATGGATGAAAATCACTAACACAGCTATTGCAAGCCGTGCTGGTGACTATTACAATGACAATGTTGTGGCCCATTTTAGGCAAATCTTAAAGGAATGCGAGGTAAAGAGCTCTATGGACAGATTTGTTGTGCAACAGAGGTCCAGTGAGTCTCAAGCTGGTCCTAGTGGCATTAAAAGAAGGGCAGTAACCCCAAAAAAGGACTTGCTATCTAAAGTCCTCATGGAAGGGGATTCCCCTTCTAAAAATTTATAACATCTATCATCTCCCCTCCTCCCATTCCATCAATCATCACCAGATCTTCAATAAAGGTAAGTGTCATGTATTCTTTATTTGGTACAGTAGTAATTGTGCATGTCTTCTTTTTTTGTGTAGGAAAATGTTTATTTCATGTGGTAAATTTTTTTTTTTCATACTTTGGGGTGTCAGGAAAGGATTAATTTGTTTCCATTATTTCTTATGGGGAAAATTAATTCTGCTCTCTGGAATGGATTAATATCATTAGCCGAGAGTACATTGTATGGGATGTACTATGCTGTTCACTGTTTGCAGAGACCCTTTTCTTTGCAAAATATTTGTGAAAATGCTCAACATTACAAGCTGTGAAGTGTGACAGAAACATCGTAGAATAAAACGACTTAAGAAATCGTAATGACACGATTGCAAATAAACCATACCCCCGGCCGGGATTGAACCCGCGGTCATAGAGTCTCAAAACTCCAGCCCGTCGCGTTAGCCACTAGACCAGCTAGCCACAATAAGATTCATCCAACTAGGTATATTTCTACACCATAGGAAAGTTAGCACAGGCGCCTGTGCTAACTTTCCTATGGTGTAGAAATATACCTAGTTGGATGAATCTTATTGTGGCTAGCTGGTCTAGTGGCTAACGCGACGGGCTGGAGTTTTGAGACTCTATGACCGCGGGTTCAATCCCGGCCGGGGGTATGGTTTCGTAGAATAAATTTAAACAGTTGAATTTTTTTCCTTTTCAACCTACTTGAACCTACAGACTTTTCTGCACTGCCACCCACACTCCTTAAAGTTGCATTCTGGGAGCATTATGTGTTCTATTCTGTATTTAACCCTTTGAGGGTCGCCAGGCCCTCTCAGAGACTTGTTCTCAGGGTTGCCAAAAATTAAAAAAAAAAAAATATATTTTTTCTTATGAAAAGATAGAGAATCTTTTCCCATCACAATGACACCAAAAGTATGAAATCTGATGAAAAACTTACGGAATTATGCTCTCGCGAAGTTAGTGGTCTCAACGATGTTTATGCATTGGCGATTTTGCCCACTTTGAGCCCTATTTTCGGCCAATTCCAGTGTACTAGTCGACAAAAATCATAACTATTTCGCTAGAACTCTGTTTTTTCTATTGAATGAGTACAAGAAACCACCCATTTACCGATTTCAACTATCCAATAAAGTGGTCAGAATTTAGCAATTTTGCCAATTTCACACAAATTTCAAAAGATGCCAATTTCCAAAAAGGTTCCAGAATAAACAAGGAAGACATTCATGGCACTAAAATAACATTTCCTCTGTTCATTAGTCACATCCCCACGCCCCTCTTACATTTCTTTTGCTTTCCACTTTGATTGTTTATTCTCACAAAAATAATAAGATTTACTGTTATGCAGACTACTGCATTAGTGTAGAAATGGTATAAATAATATTGGCGCACTTGTGAAAGAATATTAGACTCACCAGTTGACGTGTATTGGACGCTTGGCATGATTTGATTACTTTTGAACTTTGGTAAAAATCGAACATTTCTGCTACTTTGAGCTCAATTTCAAGGTACAGTGGACCCCCAGTTTACGATATTATTTCATTCCAGAAGTATGTTCAGGTGCCAGGAATATTGTGAATTAGATTAGTCCATTTCAGACCCCCAAACATACACGTACAAACGCACTTACATAAATACACTTACATAATTGGTCGCATTGGGAGGTGATCGTAAAGTGGGGGTCCACTGTACCTTTCATTGTAAAACCAGTCAAAATCATCTCAATTTCTGTAATATGTCTTCCATTCTATACAATGAGAACAGGAAAACTAGAATACAATAATAAATACCACACGAAAATACAGTGCAAAATTGCCTGTTTTAAACCAAAAACACGGTCAAAGTTTTTTTTTTCTCATTATGCACTGTGTGCTGCAGGATTTTTTTTATACTGCACACACTGACCACATAGACCCATTCTTTCAAATGTAGGCCTACCAGCTTTGTCTTGCTAGATTTGAGGGCACTAGAATTTATGCGTAATAGTACATCAAAAACCCTGGTGCATAAGCCGTACTAATACAGCCGAAACCCCAAAAGGGTTAACAAATTATTATATTAACCATGGCACCCAAGACGACTACTGGTGATGGCAAAAAGAATAAGCACGAAACTCTGATGGTAATGAAGAAAACGCGTTTTAGATATACAGTGGAACCTCCAATCATGAGTTTAATCCGTTCCGAGCCTTGCTCGCATCTGGATTTGCTCGTTTTCAGAGTCAATTTCCCTCATTTAAATTAACTGAAATGCATTTATGTAATCCATTCCTGGCTCTCAGGAGGCATGACAAGATATTCAGTATTTCGCTAATATCATCTGTATAGCTTATTTATGTATCACAATTCATCTAATATTCATAATAAACATATATAAATAACATAGAAATCTGAAAGAATGAATAAAATATGTCATTCATGTATGGGCAGTGTAGGCAGTGGACAAGAGTT